GCAACTAAGTGCTCGAATATATTGATACAGGGTTACTCCTAACGTGAACGATTCTTTAGGCTCAGTTTCGTTGTGTTTGTGGGATCACAAGTGTCATCACTTGTTGCACAAAACTGCAGGACAACTTAGAGAACAATTGAAACTGATATATGTAAAAGTAGTTGTTCTGAGTAATTCTCTAACAATATGTTAAATATGTATTACTCCGTATAATATATTTTTGGTCTTTTAGAGTGGCATTCATGAGACAACTGCGTCAAAATAAATGGATGATATAGTGGATCAACATCTTTTGGGTTTTTTTCGCCAATTCGCCAAAAGTGACTTCATCAAATGTGAGTAATGCTTAAAAAATGAATAATCATAGCTTGAGTTTTTAATATTTTACCGGTTTCATTTTGACTTTTGTAAACTTATCATTGTTTTGCCATTTCAAATTGATATCTACTTTCTAAAATTTAAATTGACTTTTTGGATTAGTAATAACCATATTTAGATATTTTTAACAAAAATATCTAGCTAATTTTTATGTTACCATTGAACTTTTGTTGATGCCCTGACTATTATCCCAATTTCGAAGGGATGTTTGTGAGATTATGCGGAAGGAAATGATGGAGGATCTTCTACCCAAAACTCCTCTATCAAATTGCAGAAATCTATCAAGGTTGAAATATCATTTTTTTAGGATGAGTGTTTGAGGTGGAGATTGAAGACAATATCTTCACTCTTTAATTTCATGTCATTTTTAGTAGGAGAACATGTACGGCAAACATGTTATCAAGAGACGATGTTCTTGATTTACTGTGACTTCTACTCCGTATTACTTACTGTTGAATACATTGTTGTAGAATTCCAATTGTATTAGTTCATGCATACCTTGGATTATATACAATAACTCCAACCCAATAAAGCTCCTCTTTAATATGTATCACTTTCACAAGAGTCGTACGCCTCTTCTCCTTCTTGAAGAATGCCTCTTCTCCTTCAACTCTTCGATTAAAGCTACAGCCCGCATTTAGTTACAACCTGAAACGGTTTAATTAAGGAGTTTTAAGAAGAGCTTACTGGAAGACGTTATCAAGGTGCCACACTTGTTTGAATATTTTGAGTTCAGCTGTTAACAGATATTAAGGGTAAGGCCAAGGCATGGGAAGATGATGAGGGAGTGGAACGCGTGCCAAGATGAGTTAACGGGAACGACCTTGGCGGCTTTTTGCTAGATATTATTTTGCTTCAGTATTTAAGTGTTATAATAAAGAGATTATTATTATTATTTTATTTAAGGATTTGATGTTTGAATAAATTCCTGGATCCAGGTGGTTATCACATTTGCTGGTGATAATTAGATTTTATTGAGTTTTTTAAAAAAAAATGTATCACTTTTTAGTTATCAAAATTAAGTTTCTACTTTCCATACAATTACAGTTATATTGATTGAAGCATTTGGGTTGGTACGCCCCGAGCGAGCATAACAAAGTTAGGGCAATCTACAGCACTGTGGGTCCCCAGGATAAGGTTATGTAAGGAAAAGGGTCCATCAGTTGGAGGAGAAGGAAGCCATTGAACAGTGAGAGAAGGCCACTCGAGGGAATGAGAGATGACGAAGTCGTACAACAGCGGCGTGCCCCCTTCCAAATTTGATAAAATTTGTGCGACTCTAAATTATTTTCACTTTATTTTTACTTTAACAATCCAATATCAACCACATAAACTCATTTTTCTGAATCACCGTGTCACTCTCTCATGTCTCATTGTTTGTGAGACAGAGGTACTATTTATGAGATTCAAATTTATTTATAATCTACAAATTAGAGCCTGTTTGGTAGCACGAAAATCGGCTGTTTTGGTTGATTCGTCTGAAATATATGAAGTTCTGGCTGAAGTGGTTGCATTGGCTGATTCTGCTGATTTAATAAAAAAAAATTAAAATATTTTATTAATAAAATAGAGAAAAAATTATATGTAAAATAGCTAAAATGATCATCTACAGTAACTTCAGCCAATACAGCCAGAAAAGTAACTTCAACCTTACTTTTTCTGTTTATTACACAATTAAGCGCGCGCAAGCAAAAATTACGTGTTTGGTGAAAAAATTGATTGATAAGCCTGATAACCTGAAAAACAGTGTTGCCGAACAAACTCTTAATATCGAGCACATATTTAATATTTTCATGCTAAGGATGACCAGAAAAGGTTATAACTTACTTCGAATTAAATTTAATTGAAAAACCATACATGAGTTGATTGGGTCCTATAATGGGGAGTCTTTATAAGCTGTACTTGCAAAAGTTCTAGCCCAAACACGCCCTTATAAACGGGTGAAAGGCAACTCATTAGACCATTTGTAGTGGTTGGGGATTAGGAGTCAAAAGATTAAAAATGGAGATTTTAGACTCTTATTTGTGTGTAGTGGAGGATTAAAAGGGGGAGTAAAAGTGGAAAGGGGAGTGGAAGAGTGTAAATATAGAGGGAGGGGTTGACAGCCAAACCATGTTTTCGCTGACATCATGGTGACATCATTATAACCCCAAATTGTTTTAAACTCTTGTAACTTTTTTATTTGTTCTCCAAATTTTTCAAAATATATATCAAAATTCATCAAATTTTATGATCTTTCATATGACACCAATATGTAATATATAAAATGAAACAAAAAATCTTAAATGTTAACTGTTGAAGTTTTCTTCCGTTTACAAAACGATGAAACACAAATTTTTAATTCATGGAATCTTTACAAATAACTGAATATTTTATAATCGAACTTTAATTGAACTAAGTTCATTTTTGTTAACCGAAAACATTAAAAAAAATTAATGAAATTTATTTATTTTTATGTCGAAATGTGTATTTTTTATTTCACAATTATTTAGGGAAAATATTAAACGGAAAACATTACTTATAATAAATTAATTAATGTTTTACTAAATTGATATGTAAAAAAATATGTTGAGTGTATTTTATTGACGGTGCACGGATGCAGAGAAAAACAGTATTGACGGAGTCAAAACACTGTTTTCATATGGACGGAGTCCAAATTTAACAATTTGGACTCCCAACCACTACAAATGGTCTTAGATTTCTATTCCCAATTGGAATAAACTGACCCCATCTCCAAGTGCATTCGTGACTGCTGTTGCAAGTCTTGACAATTATTTTTCCCTTCTTCCTTTTAAGTTTTGACTGCGTCTTTTATTCTTTCCGGGGTCTCTTTCCCTTCCAGACGGCCTTCAAAATTTCTCAGAATCCGTATCGGAATTTCCAGACGCCCAGACGGCACATTCAAGTCAAATTGCTATCGGAATTCTCAATTGTAAGTTCGCCTTTGCTCTGATTGAACTTCCTGGCTCATTCAAGATAATCTATTGCATTTTAATAAATTTCCGTACATTGATTTTTCTTCTGTCATGGTAAACACGAACTCGGCGCCTGCTAATTTGAAGTCTTAAGAACATAGGTTTTTATTAAAGATTGAATTTTTATCTTAATTATTATCCTCTCTCACTTCTAGGGTTTGACTGGCCTGAAGGGGACGCATATAATTACTTCAGCAGAAATAAAATAAAAATGGAAGATGGAGAGCTTGAGTTTTCAAATAGCCAGGAGATGCTGTTATCCGATTTGAATATCAGTGAATTACCAGACAGCAGTTTTATGGACAGCTTTTTGAATGAAATCCTCAAGGACACTCATGCATGCACCCATGCCCATACCTGCAACCCGCCCGGACCCGACAACTCACACACCCACACCTGTTACCATGTCCACACCAAAATAGTTCCGCCTCCGCCTGTTGCTTCCAGTGAAGACAACACCGCGGAGTCAGTGGATGATAAGAAAGAAGGAAAGAAACGACCATCGGGGAATCGGGAAGCTGTCCGCAAGTATAGGGAGAAGAAGAAGGCGAGGGCGGCATTGTTAGAGGACGAGGTTGTGAGGTTGAGAGCTGTGAACCAGCAATTGCTGAAGAGGTTGCAGGGGCAGGCGGTGCTCGAAGCTGAGCTGGTAAGGCTCAAGTGTTTGCTTGTCGACATGAGGGGAAGGATCGAGGGTGAGATTGGGTGTTTTCCATATGATTATACTAAGCAGCAGCAGCAAATGAATCCTTGCAATGTTCAGTGCAATGTCAATGACTATTCCCTTCATTGCCTCCGACCAGGTGATTCAGACGGTGGCATAAGTTCAGAAGTGAACGACCAAGGATTGAATAGTAATTGTGGTTTTGATAGCCTGCATTGTTTGGCGGGTGGTAATCAACAAATTTCTGGAGTGAAAGAGCCTGCCGGGCTTGGAGTAGGCTACAGCAACAAGCCTGTTAGTGCTTCTGGTGGGAGTAAGAGGAGTAATAAGAACACTAATTAGAACTGAGTTCTCAGTTTTTTTTATTTTTTATTCTATCCGTCCTAAAAAAGAGAGTTATCTTTTTTTATTCTCGTGCTGGATAAGCTGTATATGCGTTTAATAAATACAGTTTGTTTATTTATGAATAAACTGTATATTAGTTCAAACTTTGATCTCCTTTTGTTAATTCTTAGGGCTTGTTTGGTCCAGGATCTCAAAGGAGAATGGGTGAATTAATTTATACTTGTTAGTTTAAAATGAGAAATATTCACGTGATTAGTTAAATCATGTATGTTTATGTTGTTTTTTATCTCACTTTATTTACAAATTACAAGCAGCTAAATGTAGATACTAGATATGAAGTATTATCTAAAATATAGTATCATCCAATCACCCCTTGCAGAATCAACAACCCAAACAAGCCCTTGGTTTCAGTCAGCAGAGATACCTGTGCTGTAATGCATGATTTACTTTTCAGTTGGAACTGAAAATTCTGCTGAACTAGCCTTAAAGATTATGCTGACATTATACATCCATTTCAAAATGCCCAAATGTAACTTATGTGTTGTACAGTTGGAGAGGAGCAGAAGATGAATTGATTCTCATAAGAGCATTAAGCAAATAATCAACAATTTTTAACAGATATTCTGTGAATGTAAGAGATCAATTATATAATGCGTGAATTATCATGTCCTTTCCGGTAAAAACAAATCTGAACAGAAAACCATGACTTTCAAGATCTATTGGTAAGCAACTCGTCTTCTTCATCCCGGTAAATACTATCTGCCAATTTCCAGATTTGAATAGTATTGTCTTCTGCAACACTTGAGATGACCCATGGCTCATTTTTATTCCAAGAGAAGTCAGATATTTTAGCTTGATGACCCCCATGAGAGAAGATTAGTTCAGAGGGACCATCCGCAGCTTCTCCTTCCAACTGCTCATCTCCTACCCTGAAATCAACCCTCTCAATAATGGTGAGCAAGCCAGGATAATTGTTACTTATCTGTTTGAATTTGAAGGTCTCGTTCACTATTCTAGGATCAACCTAGTTTTCTATCTATCGATAATTTTATGTATCATAATCATATTCAGTAATAGCAGTTCAATAAACCTTTTAGTGTACTTTCTAAACATGTAAACTTAAATTATTAATACAATTCAAACATTATTAGGACTTAACTTTTGCTTTTGTCAAACTTTGTAATCCAAAATGAGACATTCAAATTGAGACAGAGGTAGTATGATATAGCAAACATCAGGTGAAAATAAAATGGTAATGTACTGTTTATCAAGTTGGCCACAATACCTATTAATATCCCAAACCGTTAACCTTCTGTCACCAGCAGAAGATGCCAGCACTGTTTCATGGTTAGGATCCCATTCCACCTGGAACACTTCATCCCTGCAAAAGAGCATCATGTCAGTAAATAAAATTGGGCTTAATCCGAAAATCGCATACTTTTGTCAGAGACTCAGACTATCAGGAGATAATAGATGCACTGATCTTATTAGAGTAATACAAAAGGGCATACGTATGACTGCTTAAGATGTGCAATGGAGCGTTCAACTTTCGCATGTCAAACAGACCAACTGTAGTGTCTGAAGATGCCGTTGCAACTACCCACTCATTGTATGGATTGAAGGATAGATAGTTGACCTGAATTAAAGATGAGATGCATTTAACTTTAGAGCGCAACAGATCACTTTTGAAGATACCACATGATTAATCATAGAAAAATAACCCAAATTTTGTATTTTAAACTTCTACTGTCAGAAAAATTGGAATTGACACCCCGAGTTTTCACCATATCCGAGTTTCCATTATTTCTTCCAAATTGGACTTTGCACCCCATTTTTGACAGATTTCTTGAATTGTAATGTCAAAAACAAACAAAGATTAAAATAAATGTTCAAATAAATTTAAATACATTAAAAATGAAGAAGTAAATTTGATCACTTTAAACCATATTCGAAAGGAGGTAAGAGTCAGATTGATACTCGAAGTTGCATAAAATGGGTCAAATAAGTCCTTGTATAGGAGGCTGTGTCCGGTCGTCGCCATTTGGGGCGGTTCACGGTGGATTTTTTTGACGAAATTTTTTGAGCATCTTTCACTAAGTCTAGTTTACTCATACCAAATTTTATCTTAAAATTCAACTGGGAAGGCATTCAAATGAATTCTTGAAGATAACTGTTCAGTTAAAAGCACAGTTATCTTCAAGAATTCATTTGAATGCCTTCCCGACTGAAGTTTTAACTGCAATTTGGTATGAGTACACTTGATTTAGTGGATGGACTTAATTGCTCTCCTACCAAGAATATAATGAAAGAACAAGCAATATTAGTAAAGTTACCAGAAACAACATTCATTTTAGGATGTGCTAAAATAAAAAATAATACAAACGAATAATAAATAAAGTGGTGGACAAATATAATAGGGAAAAGGTGCAAATATGACGAATAATATAACAGAGAGTGAAATCTTACGGCTTGGATGAAGAAGACAGGGAAGATTTCTAAATATAAGATCAAGCTGACAGTATGCAGGCCTTGTCCATAAAGATTGTTGTACATGTATGTATATAATCATTAACAAAAACACAAAAGGATACTTATTAAGACAAATAACTCCATTTTTTGAGTAAAAGAACTTGTATATGCACTAAAATAAACTGTACAGGTCTGTACGTTTACTCCTTGAACTAAACTTTTGGTTACATTCCATTATTCTCATTGAAAGACTAACTAAAAAACAGAGATGATTTCACTTCTTGCTATTGTAATACTCAAATCGTATCTCGTAAAGAAAGCAGTCCTATTAGTACGATGCATATAAAAAAAATTGTAAGATTAGTGTCCTCAAATCACAGCCCAAAAAGAATGATTTTTTTCATTGAACTCACAATGTTCAACATGTTATATAATACCAAAAGTGCATTTTATAAAGAGAAAGAATTTCACTTTTTGACTAAAAGAGCATGTATATGCACTAAATTAAACTGTATAGATCTGTAATTTTACCCCTTGAACTAAACGTGTGGTTATATTCCATTATTCTAACCAAATGACTGACTTAAAATGCATATGTTTTCACTTCTTACTATTACTCAAATCATATATGGGAAAGAAAGCACAGTTTATACAGAAGAAAAAGGCAAACAAACATTTGATATGATCAGTTTTTCCAACTAAAATTACAATATGTTCTATACTAAAAAATGCACTTTTCACTACTTATATTCTTAGATACAAAAAGAGATTTTATCACTAAGATTTTTCAATTGATAGCTCCCATCAACTAATCTCATTCATATAATTACCTTTGGAAGGAAATGGGCGGCTTTGAGATAAACTGTGAATTGGTTGAAGTTTCATTCCCTGGCATTGAAAGTGTTTGTGGCGCCGAAGAATGTCCAGCCATGTTTCATTACGGCAAATATCTATTTCTAGGGCTTGAAGACCTCAGAGAAGGTGATTCCTTTAGCCCCTTGCAGCGATGGAAGCAGAGAATGATGGAAAACATTTCGCAGTGACAGAAGAGAAAAGTTCGGTGTAAAGAAGATGGAAAGAAAAGAAAAGAAATGAAGATCGGTGGTTTGCAGCGCCGGAGCAGAGAACGGTGCGGTGGAGAAGATTGTGATGAATGGGAAAAGTTGGGTGGAAAGAAAAACCAGTAGTAGCTAATCCAGTATATGACAAACAAAAATCAGCAGCTAGTCAAGCCAAGCATTGACTAATCGGATCAACATGGAGCTGCTAAAGGATCATTTGAAAGCAAACCTCACAAAAGCAACTGAGCTAGGAACTACATGTATAGTACTATTTAGAATAAACAATGGTCTGAACATATAAAATTACAAATAAAATGTCACTTTACCACAATGCATACATTAAATATAAGATGTAGATCTTTATACAACTATACATGGAGTCAAACGTTTACTTCCTGAGACATTTAACACATAATATTCGTTTTTTGTGACAGCGATATTATCAAGTGGTATTTGGAGGTGTTGTAGTGCTAATAAGGAGAAGATGTTTCATGTCGTTGACTACTTTGCATTTTTTTTTTCAATTATAGCATTATAGCACTATTTTATATGCATGTAGTGCAATCCTGTTGATATATAGAGGAAGATACTAGTATTGCTTCATATATGTTAAAACAGAAAGTTGTAGGTCTGGTTAAGACTTAAGAGACACAAAACAAAAGTAAAAAAAAACGAACTAAAGCTTAGAAACTAAGTAAGAAATTTGATGCAAATCATAAGAACACACTCATAATAAAAGTACTCCTATTTTGATTCGGTGAGAGAAACTTTGTGATTAATTGTTGCAGTAACGAACCAAACTCATCCTGGAGACCACATTTACTCGGATTCCAATTAGAATACTTTATTTTATTGAAATGACATACAATGGATGACCTGTTTCAAGCGGCCAGCACAAGTCTAAGATGACATAGTCTAATGCAATCACATACAAAGAATGAGTGAGCACAAGAAAAAAGGAGCAGTGGGAGGGGAACAATCAAATGTAAGGACAAAAGGTACAGAATTTCAAAATGTAGGACAAATGTTGAAAACCCGGCCTCATGGTCAAGATTACATTCCCCAACCAATAATGTTCTTCTATTAGTAAGTGTGTGCACAATAACAATATAGTAATACAACAACAACAACATCCAAGCCTTAGTCCCAATATAGTAATAACAATTAATATTCTATTCGGAAGGAGAGAGCAACATGGTGTTGGGCCAGATAGAGTGGAGGAGAGAGCAATAACAATATAGTACTCCCTCCGTCCCTTATAACTTTGCCAACTTTCCTTTTTTGGATGTCCCAATAACTTTGCCACTTTCCCATTTAAGTAAAGAATTTGTGGTTCCAGTTAATTCTCTCTCCTCTGCACAAACCTCAACCACACAGTTTTTACTTTATTAATTCCCGTGCCGGTCAAACTTGGCAAAGTTATTAGGGACGGAGGGAGTAATAACAATTAATATTCTATTCGGAAGGAGAGAGCAACATGGTGTTGGGCCAGATAGAGTGGAGGAGAGTGAATGATGTGAGAAGCTCGTTTGGAGGCACAGAATGAAGGAGCTCGTCGACTTTCTCATACACACCTTGTGGAGTAATGTGATACCGGAAAACACTACAGAGCTCATCTACTTTCTCATACACACCCCGTGATATGTGATACCGGAAAACACCACAGCCGCATACCAAGAAGACCACGTCCCCATCGTGTGGATGGAAAGCAACCGTACGGATGTTGAACTTGTTTTCTTCTTCTTCTTCTACTTGCATGCCATTAAGCGGCGGCCGATCATTGAAGCATGTGTCATGAACGAGAGTCCAAGAATTGGTTCTGTGATTCAACTCCCAAACTTTAACAACAACGAGATCAAGAGGCTGCTGCGGGTCACGCGACGACGGGCAGAACACGTTGAATAATCTCAGTTCCCCCTGGACAGCACCCAACTCTAGTGAAACAACACTCCCACCACCAGCCAAAGAGCCTTCAGGAAGGTCGATAAAGGCAGTAGAGTGGGGATTGTTCGCCAAATCACAGGCAATGACATAGTCAGGAACAACATCGCAATTGAACCAATAAATAGTTCCATTACAAGTGATTGGGTTGATGAAAAGCCTAGGGGTCTTGGTGGTAGTGGGTACAGGATATCGAAACCATGAATTAACATTCCATTTTCTTGATTTTGAACAATAAATTGACATCTGAAACTTCCAACTGTCCCCTAGCCGAGCAAAATCATTGTCTCCACGATCGTGGGGAAAATGGATGAAAACCACCTTGTATTCATAACTGCCACAGCTGTTACGGGTGGGCGGCATGCGTACTACTGCAAACCCAATCAAGAAGTCTCCGAACCAAACATCGGGGAGATGGAGCCACTGTTTGGTTACTGGATTACAGAGATAGTGGGAGTTTGGACCCTTATAGTAGCGTTCACCTTGCGACAACAGTAGCAAGTCACCGCAAGATGCTCCTATGACCATGTTGGGTGAAGGTGGCTGGACGCCGCCGCGGCTGCCTGAAGGAGGATAACTTCTACATGATGTGACTGTCTCTCCCCCGTGGAGAACCATGGATTCTTCCGAAAATAGATTGCAGATGGGCCGATAATACTCATCTGGAGCTCGCTCAAAAACATCTACCATGCGGAATATGATGGAATAAGGCTGCTCTTTCTTCTTTTGTTCCTGGAGGCCTATAAACCTGGGAATAAACTGCTGCTGAGAGATGAGGGAATGCCAAAGGTGACACACCAAGCCTCCATGAATTGCATTTCGACTATTTGGTAGTCTAGCTAGTATTTCCAACAATACGTCTTCATTACCACCCTCCCCCCTCAACAATAGGCCTAGATCAGCAGCACTCATGCCTTCACCTGCTCCAGGATTAACAGCTGTTTGACAGCTTCTCTTTAAATTCTGCTGTAGTTTTTTTTAATTAGAAAGCTCCGTTCTTGTTTCAATTAAATGCAAAAACAAACAAAGATTTAATTTTCAATTTTTTATTAATGAAGAACCGATCTGAAAGAAAGTGGAGTAATTATAAACCTGAAATTCGCCGCTGAACAGGAGCCTCTTTGCCATGACTCGATGTTTTTCAGATTCGCAAATTCGCCGCCTCCGTATCCTTTAGATATCGAAAGGTTTCGAGCTTCCTTGTCAATGTTGATGGATCCGATGTTAATTGGGACTTCGATGTCTTATAATGTTTTATGGGATGGGATAAAGTACGGCGCAATTTAGGATGTTTTCTTGGACTGTTATCAATCCATTCCTGATCAGACCAGATTTCCATAGTTATAAATAGGGGTGAGCATGGGACGGTACGGGACGGTTATTTCAAAAAACATGTACCGTCCAAAAGTATGGTTTTTTTAAAAATCAAGAACTGGTACCGTCCCGCACATATATGGAACCTGTCCCGTTCTGTACCAATTTTCAGTACGGTACGGTACGGTTCGGTACGATTCTCCGGTGTTATTTGGTTTCTAAATAATTAACCCTATTTATGTAGCATTGTTTATATCATTTAATATTGTTTTTGTTTCAAAGCTAACTTTTAGTGCTGTCAAGTTTTAATAATTTCATTACGCACAAAGAATATGCAAGATTGCATATTTGTAATATATGGACACACAGTCATTAACATTTATACTCAGTAATATGTTATATATAATATATTACTTATTATATTACTCCCTCCGTCCCTTATAACTTTTCCAACTTTCCTTTTTTGGTTGTCCCAAAAACTTTGCCACTTTCCCTTTTAATCAATCAATTTGTGGCTCCTGTGATTTCTCTCTCATCTGCACAAATATCTACCACACAGTTTTTACTTTATTATTTTACGTGCCGGTCAAACTTGGCAAACCTTTAAGGGACGGAGGGAGTATAACACTAGATTTCGGGACACATGGTCACTAACATTTATACTCGGTAATATATTATGTATAATACGAAGTATATTATTATAATATACCACTAGTTTTCGGAACAATTCGGAATGGTACAAGACGAATTGGTTCAATATGGTTCCGGGACGGTTCTCACTAAGAACCGGTATCGTATCATATTATTAAAAAAAATTCGATACGGTACGGTAATACATTTTTCCTGTTCTTTCGGTTCTGGAGCGGTACGGGACGGTTCTTCGGTACGGAACGGGAATTCCCAGATCCGCGCTCACCCTAGTTATAAAATACTCCGGGTACACAGAGACCAGATATTTACCAGACCAGATCAGATCAGACCAGACCAAATCAGACCAAATCAGACCAGACCAGCAAATTTCAGTCCAAAAAAAACATCCTTAGTCCTCAAGTTTATTTGACTTGACGACTTAATTTCCATAACATGGTATTCCATAAACATGTTATAATTGTGCATCTATATATAATACATTTGAAAGATACAGATATGGAAATTTTTGTCATGTGTCATCTCCTAAGCAAACTTTCATTTTCTTTAACTCCAACTGACAGATATATTAATTCACCAAATCATGCGCCAACAGATTTACAATAGAGTCAGGAATACTATCATACCAACAACACTGATCTGAGATTGACACATGTGCTCTTGCTAACGCACGGGCAACACGATTCGCGGATCGTTTACAAAAAGAGACAATAAAATTACTCTTATGTTTTAGTAAATGCCTAATATCATCAAGAATAAGGAAAAGGTAAGAAGAACCTCCTTCATTTTTTTAGACCCATCAAAGCATCCCCAAAACTCATTGCTTCTGTTTTCACCACTGACCAACTAGCTGCTTCGGAGATCCCTCTCGCCTTCAAGAAATTGCCATAATGGTCCTGTGCCACCCATCATCAGGCCCTAGTATGTGTACTTTCGTCCACCACCCCATCAACATTAATCTTTACAAAACCCTCTTGCGGACGTTTCCAAACCGTCAAGGAATTATTTTCTCTCCTAGACTGATCTATACTCTCAGAGCCTTGCGCATCTCTCCATCCCGAGATAATTCTTGCCGCTGAGTTGATAACACCCTCCGCTCCTTGCCATTTGTCTTTCCAGACACATCCACTTCTCCTCTTCCACAGGCTCCATAAAATAGTTATGAATCAGCATCGGTCTTCCCCATTTGGTCCACCCAGATGCCGCCAAAACCACGTATTCACCGACTCTACCGGACTGCCCAGATCCACCCTCACCTTGCTCCAAAGCTCTTTTGCTCTTTCACAAACCCGAAAAGCATGATCAGTATCCTCAGCCACATCACCACACACTTTACACCCGTCTAGAACCTGCACACCTTTTTTCCTCAGATTATCAACTGTAGGAAGAGAGCCATCAATAGCTTGCCAGACAAAATATTTTAGCTTCAGTGTGATATGCAAATCTCATAACCAAGCCCAATCAACCCCGTCCCCGGTCTGCAACTCCCATGTGAGCAAACGGTAACAACTTTTCACTTAAAACTTCCCGCTATTCTCAAAATTTTACGCCTGTCATCTGCATCAAAGATATTAGAAATTCTCTCCATGCTCCATTTTTTCCCCCGGTTATATCACACAGGGCAACAACATTCATATCTCTAATTCCAGTTGGTCTGGCCGACCCTCCCCCTCACCCAGAAGCCACGCATCAGCCCACACCTGAACCTCAATCCCATTCCCAACTCTCCTACGGATATTATTTTTGAGGATATTTTGTGTCTCAACAATTCTCCGACAGATAAAAGATGGGTTACTCTCCACCTAAGCATGTAAAAAGTCCGAGTTTGGATAATATCTGGCCTTTAATACTCTGCACATCAAGCTAGATGGATTTGTCACGAGCTTCCAACCCTTCTTAGCTAACATCGCCAAATTAAAATCCCTTATTCTCCGGAACCCAAGACCCCCCCCCCCCCATGTTTGGGCTTACACAGAGCCTCCCAACGCCTCCACCTCAACCCCTTCTGTTCAAATTTAGAGCCCCTCCACCAAAAACCATTCATTAATTTTTTTCACCATCATCACAGAGATTATTGGTTAGAGAAAAACATTCATGGCATAGTTGGGTATCGCCTGAATCACATTTTTTAGGAGAACTTCTCTACCCGCTCTGGATAAAAATCTGTTATTCCAAATCTTAATTCTGTTAAAAAAAAATCTTTCAGATAACCCAAAATAGCGGATTTATTTCTACCCACTAGTGTTTGTAGGTCGAGATACCTGCCTTGACCCCCTATCATCAGGATCCCAAAAATGCTGCTGCAAGCCACTTTAAAAATGCTCCCCAACATTCTGGCTAAACAATAAGGAAGACATTGAGTTCACAGTCTGGCCCGAGTTCTCCTCATAAATAGATAGAATATTTTTAACAACCTGCGCCTCCTCGCTAGTAGCTCCGAAACATAGAAAACTATCATCAACAAACAAAAGATGTGAAGTTCAAGGTGCCGCCTACAAACCACCGCCCCGTGGATATCACCTCTAACCTCCGCCTTCCTCAATAGAGCACTCAGCCCTTAATCCCTTATGCCACTATTATAAAGAGATAAGGGGAAAGAGGATCCCCTTAACGTAAACCTCGGCCCAGAGTAATCGGTCCCAAAAGATTCCTGTCAAATTGCACATAATAGTTGACAGTCTCAACACATTCCATGACCATCTCCACCCTACACCCTGCAGTCTCAACTATATATATATATATATATATATATATATATGTGTGTGTGTGTGTGTGTGTGTGTGTGTGTGTATGTATGTATATATATATATAGGTTCAAATGAGAGCCATGCTTAATGTGAGAACGTGAGAACTCCACTTTTAAGCAGATGTGATGCACTATATCATGTATACTAGTACTCTACCCGTGCGATGCACGGGAAATAATCACCTGCAAAAATATAGTGTATTAAAAGTAATTCATGTGAGATATATTAAGCAAGCTCATATCATGGTGTATGTGTTCTCATAGTACATCTCGTAAACAACAAAATTAAACATACTCCCTCCGTCCAAATTTGTTTTGCAAAATCAACATTTTTTTGTCAACCAATAATAAAAGTCAACCCTCTTTATGCATAGTTAATTCAATTTTTAATAAATAAAATTTACATATTCATAAACTACATCAAAATCTCTTCAAAGTTGTAAACTCCAAATTATAATATAATAAAAAATTGGCGTCCTAATTAAGTGAACAAAATGCAACTGTTTGACCAAGAAAAGTCAAATTTGCAAATCAATTCGGGACGGAGGTAGTATGAGATTAAGCTAACATAATGGTGTATGTGTGCCTAATATAATGGTGTGCAACTGTGCACTGTTTTTTGCAAAGTAATATGAGATCAAACATATGCATTGGTGCATAGTATTTCTATTTTTTTTAGAAATACTATGCATCAGTGCATAGTATTTCTATTTTTTTTTATCATCACCATTCGAAAGGTGAAACCAATAGAGCGGTTCACCATTTTTTTTTATCTGAAATGTTATTAAAAATATTCGTAACTATTAATTGGACTACAAAATTAAAACAAAATTAAAATTTTCATCTAAAAAGGTAGCTTGTTGAAAGTAAGATTACAAAAACAACGATAATCAAATTTTCTCCATACACTTAATACATTTTTATACTACCTCCATCCCAAAAAAAAAATCTCACTTACCTTATTGGGATGTCCCAAAAAATTCTTCCCATTTACTTTTTTTGGAAAAGTTTGTGTGGCTACCATTTATTTACCTTTTTCTTATTCAACCACAACCATACATTTTCACTTTATTCTCACTTTCTTAAACTCCGATCCAAGTCCAACCGGAAGAATTTGCAGGGACAGAGGGAGTATATATCTAATTGGGTTTAATGCACCAAATCCCCCTGTGATTTGGAAATTCGGCGCATTAGCCCCTTGTGATTTAAAAAATGCGTCAAACCCCCTGTGTTTTAATTAATCATGCGCCAAATCCCTTACGTGAACAAATTCAATTGTCAAATAAAAGAAAAATGATTAGCATTTTTGTATGATTCAGAGATTTTGACATATTTATTTGCATATTCAATCAAAATATTAGGAAAAGTGATTTTCAAATCGTTAAATTTATTCATAAAGGGGGTTTTGTGCATGATTAATTAAAACACAAGGGTGTTTGACGCATTTTTTAAATCACAGGGGGCTAATGCGCCGAATTTCCAAATCACAGGGGGGGTTGGTGCATTAAACCCTATATCTAATATAATTCCTGAATTTCAAAATATTCCAGTCCATTCATTTATAAACAGTACATTTAAA